GGGGCGGGGTATAGTTATTGAAGCTTACCATCTTCCTTGTGATCTGCCAGCTTCTGCTGATAAACTCTCTGAGCATCTTGTACACGCTTGATTGCCTGTGAAAACATGAAGAATTCAGAACTTTTTTTCTTCTGCAAGCCAGCAGGGTGCAAACTGCTCCAGCCTAAAGTGAGCACCTCTCACCTCTGTGTGATCTGTTCCTGGGGTATTCGCTGCTGGGTTGATCTCCGACTCATTCACAAGGGAAGATTTTAGATCTGCCAGATCCCTCTCTGTGAAGGCATTCTCCTGGATCTTCTCCTCCTGGTCGCCTTCGTCTTTAAAGGCGATCATTTCATCGCTCGCTCCAAGATCGTCTTCCTCGCCGCTGTTGAGTTGGGGCATTTTGCGGGCTCCGGGTTACGGGCTGTGCGGTGGAATGAAGAAGCTGCAAGCCCGCAAATCACTCCCCCTGCATTAGGGAAAGCAGAACGGGCGACGACGAGGTAGAGCGAAAAGTTTACAGAGAGCGAGAGAAGAGAAGAAGGAGCTGATGATAGGGACAGCTCGTTGTTCACTCAGCCTGTGATCGTTTGAGGACAAGGGGAAGGCAGAAACTTCAAAGCGCACCGCCTGCTGATTGATAGCTGAGCTGAACACTCGGGGGCTGAGCGAAGGCTTGAGAGCTGCTCTCTTAAAGAGACAGTAACCCCTTTTCAACAGAGTCTGAGCAAGCGGTGAATCCGTGGTTGCTGGTTGTCACAGGCTGACCTTGAAGACTGCACCCTAGTCACTTTGGTCCTTTGAATTATCAACAATTGCCTAGTATTTAACTGTGTGTTAAATTAAGCCCACATTCACACTGGTGAAAGACACCGGTTGTGCTTGCGGTGCCATTCGTTGTTCATGGCACCCTAAAAGCACAGAAAATAAGCACTTTGACAAACACACGAAGCTCAAAAGGGACATATGGTTTTTTGATACATGTACGGCAACACAATGGAGGCTAATGCTGAACTCCAGGCAGATGTAAAATAAACAAATTAATGCATCTCTGTAATCAACAATATATACCCTGTTTCCCCGAAAATAAGACCTATCCCGAAAATCAGGCCTAGTACTTTTTTTGGGAATTGCTAAAATATAAGACCTACCCCGAAAATAAGACCTAGTTGTGACCATTCCCAGGGCTGGTGGTGGCATAAGGGGCAACTTAAAGAGCCACGGGAGAGGCAGGAGAGAATCAGCGGTGCCAACGAAGCCAGCGCTAGAGGAAGCAAGGCGGCAGCGTAGGGAGCAGAGCCGCATAAGCCGATGTTTCCCCCATAGCGCCGGCTCCTGTCACAGGCGGAGTGATACCAAATGCACTCCGCCTGTGGGGAATCGATAGTGAATGTGCACTTCACTCATTCTGGCCAGCGATTGGCTAGCACATTGCTCTTGGAAAGGTACGGCACCCCTGATTGCCCTGATAACCATATTTTTGTACATGAATACATGTAGACTTTTTTACATGAATAAGTGTGGATTGTTGTACAGTAAAAAAGAAAAAAAAAATAAGACCTACCCCGAAAATAAGACCTAGTGTGTTTTTTTGAGCCAAAAAAAATATGACAGTGTCTTATTTTCGGGGAAACACGGTATATACATAAATTTACATTAAATATATTTTACTACATATGGTATACATAATTATACATTCAGGGCTGTCGCTCTAATAAGGCAGACAGAGGAGGTTGCCTTAAGCGACATCTCACTGGGTCACGTTGGGGGGTGGCAGGTGTATTGCCCCCTTTCCAGCCAGAGCTCTTAGCAACCAGTGATGCTCTGGCTGGTGTCCTGTCAGTGGCGAATAGTCTAGGGACACCCCTGTATAAGATGGATGTATTTTTTTTTATATTCAAGCACTGTAAGTACCTGAACGTGGCCTGGTATTAGCCTTTTGCAGTCCCTGTACAGCAGGGCTGGAATATTAGAGGAAAAAGCAACATAAGGAGCCAATCAGTGCATGTGCTGAAAAGAAGCAAGCGGAGGAGAGAGCACAGCGATGAGCTCATAACCTCGCTGCTTCTGCTTTCACTGTCCAGTCACAGGCTGGTGAGCATGTCCAGGACATCCTGGACTTAGAAGTGGGTTGAATGGTACTGGCTGTCTGAGTGAGGACATCTTGCAGAAGAAAAAAAGTAACAAGGGTAAACCTCTGGATTGGGCCTCATGCACACAGCAACCACTGGCGGAACTACCAGGGTCGCAGCGGTCGCAATTGCGACCGGGCCCTGGCGTTCCGCCACTTGGGGGGGGCCAGCAAGGAAGTAGAGGGCCCCCCCGCGATCGTGCCGCTCCTTCTTTGTCGCACAGCCACCCGCAGCATGTATGGGCGGCTGTGCGAAAGGGCTGGAGACGCTGTCACTGATCCCGGAGAATGAGCTGGTTCCGCCTTTTAGGGGTGGAGCTAAGAGGGGCCGTCTCTTAGCTCCGCCCCCTGGTCGGCAATTTTCCCCCCACCAATTTTAGGTGGTGGCCTCTAGTTTTTCTAATGGAGTTAATTTTAAACAGTTTATCGCTAATGTTGCTACCACCATTGAACATTTTGTACATGGAGATCATATCCCCCCTTAATCTCCTCACCTCCAATGTGAACATGTTTAAATTTAGTAGCCTTGTCTCGTAGCTCTGGTCCTCCATACCCCTAATTAGTTTGGTTGCCCTCCGCTGGACTTTTTCCAACTCAAGGACATCTTTTCTTAGTACTGGTGACCAGAACTGGACCGCATACTCTAGATGAGGTCGAACCAATGATCCAATGAACCGCAAAGTCCGTGTCTATTACCCTCCCTATTTTGATGTCATCCGCAAACACGGAAATATCGCTGTTAACACCCTCCCCGATGTCATTAATAAATAAGTTGAACAATATGGGACCCAGCACAGAACCCTGAGGCACACCGCTCATTACACTAGCCCAGTCTGAAAAGGTGCCATTTACAGATACCCTCTGGACACGTTCCCGTAGCCAGTTCTCTATCCACGTACACACCACCTCATCTATGCCCATAGCCCTCAGCTTGTGTAGCAAGCGTTTGTGTGGTACCGTATCAAAAGCCTTTGAGAAATCCAGATATACCACATCTACCGGCTTACCTCCGTCCATATCTCTACGACAAAAACGCCCCAAAGAAGCTCCTGTACTTCTTTGGGCGTAGGGCGTTTTGTAGCGCGTTCATACGGCCTGTAATACGCCCAGGTGTGAACGTTTTGAGCGTTTTGCAGAGCGTAGGAACGTGCTACAAACGCCCAGGTGTGAACCGGGCCTTAATTTACAAGTCTGCACCTGAGCACGGCTAGTCCTACTTACTGCTTTATAGATTGACAGCACTGCTTCTGTAGCTGAATACCTCTTGTAAGGATTGGAGATGAACAGCAAGTGAGGGAAAATTTTCCCAACGAGGGGCTGAAGCACATTGACCTACCTGGTAAATCAGGAACATTTCTAGTATCATTGAATATCTTCAAATCTGGCCAGTCAAGGCAGAATCTTGACTCCAACGGCTCTATTAGCTTATCTGTAAATCTTATAAAATATGAATATCGCAGCTTTATGATCTTGATGTACAAAATACCTATTCGTGAGATTTGACAAGAGTATTATTATTATTATTATACAGGATTTATATAGCAAAAAAGAAAATAGCACTGCGCTTCAAACTCAAAAATGATATTCCTAAAATGTGAATTTTTTTTTAATAAAATGTGAAATTGTCACAAAGTGATACACAATTTTGTGTCATACACAACACCTGTGTTGTGCAGTGCCTGTGCTGATGATAGTAAGAAAAACTCTAGGTCTAATGGTCTAGACAATGTCTACATATAGAAAAACCTGTGTTAAATCTCACAAGTGATGTATAACTCCCACTTAATCTACATAACCACATGTGAAGTCCATTACTTCTGGATACAATAAAGTCCTTGAAATATGTGAGGATATATCTTCCAACTTTTATAATCAACACCACATCCGTGAATGCAAAAACAATTAGGGGTCTATACACTATGCTGCCGAGGGCAGCCGAGTGAATGACTGATCAGAAGTGAAGTGAGCCGAACACTGTTCGGCTATTCACTTCAGGCTGGTACGGCTGATTTCAGTCCTTTAAATTAGTGAAGATATATCTTCCAACTTTTATAATCAACACCACGTCTGTGAATGCAAAAAATATATAAATCTAAAATTGTACATATCAAAAACATGTCTCAAATATCAAAAGCTATCAATAAACATCAAAGAAATCAAAAAACACACACACATATATGTGGCTGCATTCCGCTAATAATTTTTCAGCAGTGTATCATGGAAAAAGCAGTATAGAGGCACACCGTGTAAACGCCTAATATTCTCAGATGGCAGAAAAAGCGGGTATCAAAGATATAAATATATGTTTTTTCTTTGCTTTTCAAGTCTCCATATGGATGAAAAAAGTGACCCCAAAAAAAAGGGACGAAGCAGAGAACTCTATATTTCCAGGATTGAGCATACATATGTATGAAAAAAGGAAGGAAACAAAGCGATATTGTCAAATTGTAAAAAAAGATTTAACTCACGGTGGAATGTGTCCTCATTTAAGAGATCAACTTTGATAGGGAGGAAGAACGAAGTCTCCGCTGATAGATTTGTATCCAAACAAAGAGAGTAGGAAATCCAGGAGATGTAACTGTATCTCGGCTCTATAGACCGGTTGTTGTAGATCTTTGCCTTTACTGGATTCCTATATTCATTTTGTTGGATTTCTTTTTCTTTTTTCAAAGTGATTGACAGGAGGTGAAGTTAAATAATACAAAAAAAGCCAGAAAGACGTCTTCTTTCCTGAAAACGTTACGAGGTGACTTGGTATCTTTGTTCCTTTAGATGAAGATCCGAGGAGCTCAGAGAGAGACTGCCGTCAAAAGTAACGAGAGAGCTCAATAGTAGTTGTGAGGGTTTCAGGAGATAGGCACCATCTCGGCTTTTCTTGTTCGTTATAGGAATAAGCCTACACTGGAACCGTGGAGTCTCTTTTCTCATTATTTCTCCACAAGAGACTTTAGACAAAGAGGCTCTCACCAAAGTATCAGGTTTGGATAGCTTGTGAGTAAATATTTCAGGCGAAGAACACAGAGCAGCGTCAGCTGAAGCAGCCACATAGAGAAAACCTTCACTGAACGCCTATGACGCACTTCACCCCCTCCCACACCGGGGCTTCATCAGAAGGGCATTGTTAAGTGAAGGTTCCTTGGTTTTCTCTTCTAAATAAATGAAATCTTAAATGATTTAATTGGTGACACATGAAGCGTAATTAAAGCGCATCACGTTTTAGTTGTGTCTCCACTGGGCACATTTCTTTCAACCGGAAAGAAGTTCAGTATTACAAACCGTATTGAAAAATTGTATATATGTTCAAAAAATATTACATGAAATTACATTTTTGATGATAAATGTTTTTTTAGGCCATTAATTTTTAATGAAAACAAATTATA